AAATTTGGAGACACTGTTTTCTGTGTCCTAGGAAAAGTTCATTCGATCATAAAGGAACTACCACTATTGCTAGAGCATTATGAAAAATTGTCATTAATTTTTACGTATATGTATGTCATAGTTTCTGTGGGTTGGGAAGTTGGGGGTGGCTTACTTGGGTGGGTCTAGCTTAGGGTTTCCCATAAAGTTACAGTCAAGATTTGGGGCAGGACTAAAGCCATCTGAAGGCTTGACTATGACTGGTGGATCTGCTTTTAAAACAGTTCACTTACTGTTTGGCCAACTTGGTGCTAATTGATGGGAGGTCTCAATTCCTCCCCATGGGAATCTCTCCACATGACAACTTGAGTGTCTTTACAGCATAGCTAGTAGCTTTCACCAGAGTAAGTGGCACATGAGAGCAAGGTGGAAAGTGTAGTGCCTTTTATGACCTAGCCTTAGAAGTCACATACTGTCACTTCTATATTTTGTTGGTCACATAGGCCAGCCATGATTCAAAATGGGAGGGGACTACACAGGTCATTAACACCAGGAAATGAGAATGATGGGGGTCCATCTTTGAGGCTGGCTACCATAGTTTAATAATGTTCAACCCTCAGAGAAATTCATCTCCACATCTCTTGCCCATAACCTCATGTCTGAATGCCATGAAGATTTGCAGATTTTACCATTGCCATCATTAGAGATAGAACCTGCTCAAGATTGTGGTGAGGATTTGAGCAAGCAGTAGAAGCACTTAGGTAAGGGAAAGATGACTTAATTAACCTACGTAATTCTCCTTTCAGCATGAATGCAATAGTCTCTTGTGTAATGAAGTACCATTAATTGGTAATGCAAAGCTTTTATTTTCTTTTTCTCTTTGTGTTTTGATTTATGGTTTCAGTGGTAGTAGAATTAGTGTAATATTTGGAGCATTGCATCCAGAGACTGAGAAGCATTTTGCATTATTCATATTACACTTTTTGCAATTCATATTACACTTAAAATTGCATTTCATAGCTATAGACACGAAATTCATGAAGCATGACAAAAAATTTTTACATTAGCAACTGGATGGATATAAAATACTGGAATGATGGTTTCTAAATATAGATAGATTAAATTTAAAAAATTCTAAATGAATATAAAAAGTTTAATTTAAATAATATTGATATTAATTATAATTTTCAATAAAAATAAGCAGTAAAAATATTCAAAGAGATGATTTACTTAAATTTTACAAATCTCGAAACAGCATTATTGAGCATTACCACATAGTAAAATTTGCAAGTAGGACTTTATACTTTCTCTATTTAAAGAAGAGTCAATTACCAATTTTATTAGTTTTCTATTTATTGCTGCTTAACAAATACCACAAACTTAGTGACTTAAAACAACACCCATGTATTGTCTCACAGTTGTCATGTGTCAGTCCAGGTATACCTGATTCTTCTGCTAAGGGTCATAGGCTGTAATGAGAGTCAGCTGGCCGCATTATCATCTGGAAGCTTGACTGGGGAGGAGTTCACTTTCAAGCTCATTCAAGTGGGGAGAAGAATTCATTTCCTTGAGGTTGTAGAACTGAGGGCCCTGGCTTTTTGCTGACTCTTGGCTGGTGGCCACCATGGACTGTCCACAGTTCCTAGAGGTCACCCACAGGTTCCTGCCATGTGGTTGCTTATGTCATCAAACTCACAAGGGAAGTCACTAGCTCCAGGCCACTAAGATGAAGTCTTATTTAGTGTAACATAATCACATCAGTACCATCCTATCACCTTTGTTATATTTGTTAAGAGAGGCAAATGATAGTGTCACCCACACTCAAAGGGAGAGCATCTTACAAAGTCATGAACACCAGGAGGAGGGCATCATTCAGGGCCACCTCAGAGTGTATCCACTACGCTGACCAAACAGTAGAAATGAGCAAGAAAATGATTCACATCTTCAAGTGATCAAATGAAACCCCTGAAATGTCACATTCTTTATAAAATAAAATTTAGTAACTGATGAAAACAATGAAAATGTATAAGAAGGATTATGCACAATACAGAAGCAACAGTACAACTCTGGCATGCCCATTAGAAGATGATTATTACATTCATCAAATTGGCAAATCGGGCAAGAAAGGCAGAAACTCAAGCTTTCTTGTGGATGATAATCCTGGGAAATGCCATTACATCCTTTGGCAGTGTGAGGACATTTCTCGGAGAGCACAATTTTATTTCAATTATGGTTATAATTTTCCAGTAGGTAAATATGAGAGAAAATTTAGTATTGTATTTTGTAACAAATTATTTCAAGTGGAGAAAGAAATTGTAGAAATTCTAGCTTAACTTTTGTATTCTAACTTAAAAGGCAAAGTGTTTTATCACCATTGCTACATATTTCACAACCAATCTGTAACATAATTTTTTGATAATGAAAATATATGGCTGCAAACACTAAGTTTCATTATTAAAGGAATACAGAACCTCCCCTGCATTAAAAAAAACAAAAACCATGCATGTAGTTGCCAGGATTGAAATAACAATGGAATAAACAGTGAACAAGCCGTGACACATTCAGCAATATAAAACATTGGCTTGATGTTCTTCAAAAGAAACTATATGTCCCATATATACCCAAATATAATGATACTTTTTGTGGCATTAACTGTACTGTATTTCATAAAACAAGAAAATATGTCTAAATTTAGCAGAAATTATTTCAAAAATTGATGGCAATGGTCAACATGTAAGAAGGATAAAAATAATAAAACAAATGATCTCTATCTAGAATTGAGAATTCAAAATGAAATGAAGTTTTTAATGGGTAGTAAAGCAAGAGGAGAAATAATAAACCTTTAAAAGTAGATATTACTCAGTTCAACCAAATTGTTTCAGGACAAAGTGAAGGTGAGCAGCTAATATGTATTGTACATATTGTTGAACTACAGAAGAACAAGAAGTTGAAATTAATAAGTATTGCATTGTTTTTATTCTGGTTGTAGAAAGTACAGATTTCCTGATGGGTGGAGATCTAATCACAGTTCCCTCCCCTTTCCCTTCCGCCGCTCCTACCTGGGAGAAACCATGAGTTTGGGGGGGAAGCTGAACTGGGGGCACCTTCTCCCACTGGGTGAGGATAAGCAATACTGAATGATTCCCCAAGACGTTTTAGCAATCAGGCTCCTTGTTCAGACTGATTGTTTCTTAATTTTTTAAGAAAAACTTCACTGTGATATAATTCACATAGCATAAAACTCACCCCTTTAAAGTTTATAGCTCAGTCGCTATTAGTATGCTCACAGAATTGTGCAGCGATCATACTAATTTTAGAACATTTTCATCACCTCAGAAAGAAACCCTGTACCCATTCATTAGCAGTAAGTCTCCAATTCTCCCCCACACCACCACCCTTAGACAACCAGTAATCTACTTGTCTATCTCTCTGGATTTGCCTATCCTGGACACTTCACATAAATGGAATTATGCAGTATATCCCCCATTGTTTATTATATTAACTGAGGTTTCTGGAAAACCTACTTAAACCTACTTATGATATTTCTAAAAATCAATCATTTCTTATGTTTCAGGTTTATGGCAGTATTTTTCCTCTACTTTTTCCATTACCTGCACATCATAAATACTTTCAAATACCCATATTAGCTCATACTGAATCGAATGATGTATTGCAGATTTGTGAGCTTGTTGACAACAAAATTTGACTTCCAAGGACAATGAAAGTAAAATGTCTGCTTGAACTTTACTGACTTTGAAGGGAGTATGGCTACAATATGTTGGACTACACAGATGTTTTTGTGTTCTGTGGTGATAGAGTAAGAGAAACTGCTTCTAGGACGAGTTAATTATGTCTCAGAAACATCAAACACTTTCCATTGTTAAACCATCTTTTAAACTTAGCCCATTTGTGTTTGTACCAGTGAACCAATGATTTTTGGCAATCTGTTAAACATATAACCTTTAATACTGGCTTGTCTGATAGACTATAAGAATCTAAAAATGAAAGTTTTATTTTTGTTAATCTTATAAGTTTCTAAAAATGAAAATGTTGATAATAGTAAGTCTTATAAATCACTTTGTAGAGTAGCCTTTTAAATCTCATGGTAAATCTTTAGAGAAAAGACTTTAGTAAATAAAGTAAGAGTAACTGACTAACTATATTATTATACAGTAGAATTTATAATGAGAAAGTATTACTTTACTATTCCTTGTAGTTTTACAATGTAAAATTCGCAATAGACATTTGGGAAGCTTAATTTTCAGTGGCACCCCCTTGTATGGTTATAGTGTTTATGTGCATTATCCCTTTCCCAATAAAATTGCATTTAAATGATTTTTTCACATTGTGTCATATCTTGTAATGATGAGTTAGACTATTCAGTATAGCATGGTAGAAAGAAAGAGCAATTGACTGCAGTCAGACTGCATCCATTGAAATCTCAGTCCCACCCATCACTAGTGGGTACCAGTGACTTAACCTCTCTGTGCTTTCATTTCCTCAACTGCAAAGTGAAAATATTAGTACTCATTGATTCGACCTGTTGTGAAGATGAAATGAAGTAATGTATATCTAATAATGTGTATAAAACCCTTAGCATATGGTAAGTGTGCTAAACACATGCTGAGTAATACTGGCCATTTCATTCTCTGTGCTGTGGGTATGAGAACAGCATGAAAGAGTGCACAGAATTAATGGATTGGTCAGCCAGAAATCCTGGTTATATTTCCTTTCATTCAGAGGTTCTTTACATAATGATGAACAAATTTCTATATTCTGCAGCCTAGCTTTCTCTATATATTATGTGGCTTGTAAAACAGTTTTTATAAAATATAGAAATATCATACTTAACAAAATCAATGAAGTGTTATGTAAAGCAAATACATATTTTTGTTGCACTACCATTTAGGATTAGAAAATAATTATTTCCTCTTACTACATTTGTTATCAGAAAACACAGAAAAATGAATTATTTATCTATTTTGGCTTTAATAACATTTCTTTCTCTTCCCCTGGGCCAGGGTTTTCCAGGTGACTTTGGAGAGAGAGGCCCTGCTGGTCCTGATGGCAGTCCTGTGAGTAAATTGTGATGGACCAATCTTGCAATCTAACATCACTCAAACTCCATTGCAACTGTACATGCCACCCTCATGACCACATTCATGAATAAGCACTGTTTACCAGACAGTTTCGCTACCACTGTGCACATTCCAATTGGTAATGTTACAACATGGGAAATGAGTAATCTCTATCTTGAGAGACCATTGTTAAATTTAATTATTTTAACCATGTTAACTGTGACTGCTTAAATAAAATATGAGAAATATATGATCACTAGACTGATTTGTACATTTTTTGGGGGAAGAAGCCTTTCATGTACATGAAGGTCCTAACAAGCCTCATGTAAACACTGTGTACTCACGATTGCTTTCTTGGACTTCAACGTGTCATTGACTAGCCTTTTGAGTATTTTATAGAGAAGTCTTCTCCTTTGGGATTGTTCAAATTAGGGAGTCAGCATTCTAAAATTGGTTTAATTATATTGTCAAAGAATGATGATGGATTCCTGTGTTTTGACACCAGGTAGTATGGCCTTCACTTTTTGCCCTTAGAAAGCATCCAGTAGCTATCACCCAATATGTGCCAGGCACACATTTTTTTTCATAACATTTTAAGGTGAATTAGAATCAACCACAAAACCCTCGTAGCCTAAATTAGGAATAGTTCCTATATTTAGACATATGTAAATTATTAGCATTTGTAATTAAATAAAGTGTTTGAAAATCATTTCTTTTTTATTTCTTTCTACGAATTAAAAATGTATTAGCTCATTTAGAAAATTTAGCCAAAGTTTTATTTGTTATAATGATGTCTTAAGTAGAATCTTTACCATCTTTTTCTTGCCCACGATTCTGGGGCGCTTCCCATTTCAAGCATAATAAAGTGAGCATTATTTAGTTTTTTCCATTTATGTACAGTCATGTACCACTTAATGACAGGATATGTTCTGAGATACGCATCATTAGGTGATTCATTGTGCGAACATCATAGAGTGTACTTACACAAACCTAGGTGGTATAGCCCACTACACTCCTAAGCTCTATGGCATACCACTTTTGTATATGCGGCCCATTATTGACTAAAACATCATTATGCAGTGTGTGACTGTACTTACATGCCTAGTGTGAAGCCACTTATTTAATATTTTGTTAGGTAAATAAATATACATAATGTTTGTTAGCCTTGAAGTCCTACAATATTTAAAACTTTTCTTTTTGAAATCTACTTACTTAAAATATAATGCTTCTTGAAGAGGCATTTTAAGTCTTTAAAATCTTTAAAATGTAAGACATAGAGAAGTCTATATCCTAGCCTAAGTGGTACTCTGCATCCAAAAGCATGGAACCAGGGCACTTTTGAAGACTATAAAATTGCCACTAGAGATTTGTACTTCGTAGAAGGATGCATAAGAGTAGAGAAGTTAGCTGTAGAAGAAGTTCAAATTTGACAAATTTTTTTTCCCCAAGAAGTGTTTGTCTTCATCTTTAGAAAATACACTTAAGTAGTTTGGAATCATATTTAACCAATTTTGCACATTTCTTTTACTTAGGGACTTATAGGTAGCATTGGTCCTCCTGGATTTCCTGGTCTTAGAGTGAGTATCAAATATCATCATGCTTATAAAATATTCTATGTGTTTATATTTGTTGAATGTGTTTCAACGCTTTAGAAAAATAAGTTTTAGTGTCATTGTTGGATATCAACCTTGCTCATGTGTATTTTCCCACCAGATATGCAAATTAAACCAGTAGTATGATTCAAAAAAATAATTATACTTCATGATAAGCTAAAATAGATTTCTATGGATTTATGTATACACATGTAAATACGTGTCTATCTCATTAAAGTTTACTTAATTAAAAACCAGTTTCTTCAAGCGTAGAAGACATATAACAGTCACTTCTTTCCTTTGAGGTAGTCTTTCTGACTGTCTAGTCTGAAGAGACACAGATACGTCAAAACGAAAGTACATGATAACTGCAGACTTTATTTATGGAATAAAATTGAATAAATGGTTAGGAAAACCATTCTAAACAAAAGGTAGGAGCTGGACTTCACCAATGCAGTTAAATAGATTAATACCTAATTTATTATATTAAAAGTATAAGTGATTATATTGTTTGTCCACTTAATCAGTTTTTATGCAATCACTTCAATCCTGAGTTTCACTGGAATTTCTGATATAGGTGAAACATAGCTTACTCAAAGCTATTCTGTGGAGGCCAAAACAATGTAGTCCAGACATGTAGCATTCTGATAAATTTTGTATTATTCATTGTCGTGAAAGACTGCTATTTTCTTTTTTTTTAAGATTTTTATTGGGGAATTAGAGAAGGGGAACAGCCAAGTTGTCCTTTAATCTTAGTTGTGGAGGGCGCAGCTAGCACAGTTCCAAGTCCAGTCACCATCAGACCACCCATCGGCAGGTCAGGGCAGCTCAGCTCAAGGTGCCGTGTTCAATCTTAGTATGGGTGGGCATAGCCCACCATCCCATGTGGGAGTCGAACTGGCAGTCTTGTTGTTAGGAGCACGTACTCTCACCAGCTGAGCCATCCTGTAGGCAGCTCAGCTCGGGTGCAGCTTACTGGCCCATGTGGGAATCGAACCAGTGACCCTGTTGCTGAGAGCTCACCCTCTTAACCAACTGAGCCACTCAGCTGGCCCAAGACTGCTACTTTTGTTGTTTATGATATCTTCATAAATATATTTCTCCCAGCCAAGTTAATGGTTCATGACAGTGATATGAATTGCAGATATTTTATATATATTTAGAGCTATATGCTTTAATTTTAAGCTGAACTAAAGGCAATATTGAAACACTTTATGAAATGTAAGGAATCTAATGAAAATGGAATTTTAAAAGTGAACTCTTTATATGCATATAAAGAAGGACACATGGAAACTAACAAAGTGTCTTTCAATAGATAATTGAATAAAGATGTGAACATATATACAATGGAATATTACTCAGCCATAAGAAAAGATGAAATACTGCTATTTGCAACAATGTGGATGGATCTTGACTATCATGCTAAGTGAAATAAGTCAGATTTGACTTTGGGTGGTGAACACACAATGCAATATATAGATAGATGATGTAATTATATAATTGTACATTTGAAACCTATATATTTTATTAACCAGTGTCACCCCAATAAATTTAATTTTAAAAAGTAGGACATGACCATGCACAGGGATAATATTTTCCTTAAAAACCAATTTAGAGCTTGCTCTAACAGATGAAATAGGAAATTAACACTCCAGAGTATTATGCCATAAATTGTAGCTCGAACATGAACACAGGCCTTTTGACTCTAAATTTAATGTTCTTTTCCCACCTTAACTAGTCCAAAGCAGAAGGTGACAACTTGGTCAAAGGAATAAATCAGGTGTTCAGTTATGGAACTATAGTAAACATTTGCATAATAAGTTTTAACTTGCCATTTGGGGAAGGTAAGAGTGTAGAATTGGGAGTCAAAGAATCCATGAGCATCTAAGACATTTAAATTTTTATATGATAATACTAATAATATAATATGATATAATATAATATGATAATAGTAATAATAACAAAATTATCTATAACAGCTTACTTTTCTTTAGTATTTTCTATGTGCTAGTCACAGGTGTCATGTCATTTAATTCTCAGAACAACCCAAGAACCTTATAAGTGTTGAGCCTGGATTTGAAGCCATGTGATCTACATACAGATTCCAAAATTCTACCAATTGTGCTCTATCACCTTCTTAAAACTTATATTACCTTAAAACTTATATATGTATATTATTTGTCATATGAGATTTCATTAGGTTTCATGAGAAGCTCTTTGTGAGGGTGGAACCTGAAGGACCAATTTTTTTATTTAGAATTTAGAATAGGGTTAAATCCATAGGTGATAATCAGTGGTCTTATCAAAGGGGAGAGAAAGAAAGCAGGTGAAAGGAATTGGACTCCAGAGATACTGTCTGTGCCTTCTTCATTTAACCTGTTAGCATTAAGTTGATTAGCTCAAAAGCTTCTGTTATTACACTTAAGATTAAGGTCAACATTCTTAGCATGGCCTAAGATGTCTTAGTTAGTTTTGGTTCTTATCTGCATCTTGAAAACATGGTTTGTGCACTAGCAAAGTTGTTCATGCTCAGACACCATCCATGCAGCTTCCCTATGAGACAGGCTTTGTACTTGATTGTCTACCTGAAACACTCTACCTTTACTTTTCTGCCTAAAACTTATTCATTTTTCAGTCCCAGGACTGGGCACAGTGCTTGACACATGATAGTGCTCAGTAAGAGTAACTGGGTTTTCTGTCCTTTCTCTTTCTCCACTCACTCTTTGTAAACAGGAGAGATTCTACAGAAGTGAAAATGGCTAATGACACTAACAATCATCTTTGTAATCCTTACCTCTTCTACATTGATATAGATGGTACTTTACACTTTGCAAAGTACTTTCACATATGTATCTTATTTGTAAAGTAGCTAGAGCAGGTATTATTCCCTCCATTCTATCTTTATTAAGTTTTTAAATCAAAACAATGTGAGCACCTACTATGTATCAAATATTGAACTAGATGGTAGGCCTAAAAATATGAACAAATTAAGATTCCTGTTTTTTGGCAACATTATAATCTAATGGCAAAGAACAAAAAAATAAGCAACATCATACAATGTGATTATTTCTATTATGAACTAAAATAAATGCACTGAGAAAGGAGGAGTTTGTGTTATCTCAGCGATTCAGAGTAAACTTCACGAAGGAGATGTCTGTTAAGCTGTGGCTTGAAGATTGTGTATGAGTGGAGTGGAAAGGCCAAAGGCTGTCAGGCAAAAATGCTGTTTTCGAATGCACAGACGAAGAGAGAAATGGACTGTTTGGAAAGTGAAAAGTGGAGTAGCGGGATTGTAGCCTACGAAGCATGTGGGGATGGGAGCAGAATGGAAGGAGGTGAGGTTTTGAAGATAATTGAGAAAGATGTAGAGAACCTTTGTATCTCATAGTAGATAGTTGATCTGCTTGCCCAGAACTGCAGCCTCTGCTTTATTTCTCTGGTGTTCCCTTCCAGAAAACATAGTTTCTGAAAAGAGGTGATACTGATTTTGCTAAATTATTTTTTCCATGCAGTTGTTATTGTCATTTGCTTTCTTAATTAGTGGCATTGATTATTGCCTGTGAGTTGGGGTGGGTATGGCGAAAAGCCCAATGTGGAACTACAGTCTTTCCCACAAAATGCTCACTCACATGAACTTTAATGGGCCAGGGGCTGCTGTTTTTACATAAAGAACCCATCCTTGGGTCTCTCTATTTTTTTTTTTTTACTTACTTTGACTCGAAAGTTCTCTATTATTTATCAATGTATAGGAGGCTCTTCTGCCTCTGATGCCATATCCCAGACACTGTTAGCTAAGTTCTCATGCCTGAAATTATTTCTTCTGTCTACTCCATCTTCTCATGGGAGAGAAGTGTGATGGGTAGGGAGTGCTGAAGGACCTTCAAGTTATCTTTGTGGAGCTGAAAACTGCTCTTAATCTCTCATGGATGGATCACTTTCAGAAAGCTATAGTTTCCAGGAGTAGAATTTTTCACATAACTCGTGACATGTCTCAAAATGTTAGACGTTTTTTGGAAATTTCTATACCCATACCATTCTACTTTTTAATTATTTTGTTAAGTCCTTTATAATGTATATGTTTTTTGATATCTTCCAAAACTTACTATTCTGTGATATTTTAAAGTCACTAAAAATTTAAATAAGATATTATGCATACAAAGTACATTTATCTGAAGATGCCAGACTATGCACATTAATATAGTTACTGAAATAAAAGTTAATCATATTATATTGTGTATAGAAAAAAACAACAGAATAGCAAAGAAATTTTTGTTTATAAGATATTTCTTTTCATACTTACATGATTTCGCTGCATAATTTCTAAAGAGATGTTTATTGAACTTTTTTATATTGTATGTTTTAAATCTATGAACTTTGAATAAACTAGCCTCTGTAATTATGAGAATAATTTTCCCTATTGACAGAATTTGTCATTGATACATTAATATTGCATATCTGTTTAACTTGGAAAGTATTTCTCTTTGCCTCTCATATATTTTAGGATTAAGCATGTTGGAAATAATTTCTTAGTTATATTTCACAGACTTTAAGACTCAACCAAATGTAAAGATGTCATATTTTCCATTTTGAAATTTGTATTATATAAATATAAACTGTTGGCAATGCTTCATTATGTTGGGAGATACAGTTCTAGAAATCACTGTTTTAAATTTCATTTTTTAAAGTTGATTACTTCCTCCAGAATTCATTCCATACTTTATTTCAAAACTACTCTGTGCCAGTTATTATGTTGGGTCTGAGAGATTTTAAAAAATGACTAAACATGCTTCTGTTCTCACAGAATGCATACACTAAGAAGACAAAAAAAATAAAAAGTACAGTGTAGTACATATATACTCAGAAGTGTAGTAGAAGGGCATTCCGATAGAGGTAACCATATCATTAGAGGCTTGGAGCATGTGATAAGGGAGAGCATGTTCAGAAAATGGAAAACAGTCCACTATTGCTAGAATGTTGGATTTGGAGGAGGGAGAAGGAAAGGGTAAGTAGGGACAAATTAAAGGAGGTGAGACTGGAAGGGTTGGTAGAAGCCTGGTAGTAAGGGCTTGGGATGCTCTCCTAAGATATTTGGATTATAACTACAAGGGGCAACATTTTCAGCATTGTCGCAAATATACCTTTGGAAGTTCCTTAACATTTGGAAGCCATAAAATAGAGGTTTAAACCAACTTGGTCTTTGAGGATGGAGACACAGAGAAATAGCAAGAGAAAGAAGAAAAAGGAAGGTATCACTGACACAAAAATTATATCCAATCCCCAAACTATCAAGTGATGCCCAACCATTTTTGCAAATTTTACTTTAAAATACCCTTGTTGTTGCTATTGTCCTTTGTCTTCTAAGATGCCTTATTGGAGCTTTTCTAAGTTTCTTGCTTGCAGGAGATGATAGTGGTAGTTATGTTTTTGAGGAATCACATTGGAGCATTAAACTGAGAACTTCGACATTGATGACTATGTATTTTTCATATTATGTTCAACAAATGTTAAATGATGAATGAATGAGAGAAGCCCAGAAGAGTAGAGCCTTTTGGTCACTATTCGGTTTATCCCTGAAATTATGGTAAATTTACTCATTCTGCAAATTTGAAATCATGAAAGAAAATCATTGGAATACCTGGTCCATAATATTGGCCCAATAAATATTTGCTGAATACGTGGGTGAAATAAAAATCTAAGACAGTCAAATTAAGTATATTGGATACTTCCTGGGAACATGACAAGAAAATATTTCCCGTCTTCAAGATATTATCTAGTTGGAAAAATATTTCAAGATGAATGTCATGGATAGTAAGTATTACAGGAGCTCCAGGAAGGGAAGGATCTTGTGAATTAGACCACTATGAGAAGGCTTCAGCAAATAGAATGGATTTCACAAAAGTTTGAAAGATAGGTATGATTTCTAAATGTGGAGAGCAAAAGGGGTGGTTGAAGAACAAGGCATATGTGGCAGCTTAGTGAGATGAACTTTTCTGGGTTAGTGAATTGATCAATTTGTACCATATTCTCTTTCTGATTCTAGTAGATATTTCATGATGCCTTTCTTTCTCGTTGCTTTTTCAGGGCAGTGTTGGCCCAGTGGGACCAACTGGACCTTCTGGAATTCCTGGCCCAATGGTATGGTTCTATTTGGATAATGGATATTTACCTTTAATGTCTCTATGATATCACAAAATAATCACTTTTCTTTTTTAGGGTCTTTCAGGGAATAAGGGCCTACCTGGAATCAAAGGTGATAAGGTGATTTAAATATTTACATTATCATAGAGATATCTTATCACATTTATTCTTTTCTTTTGAGCCAACACAACTTATGAAATATTTTGTTTTTATATATGGGATCTAATCTGTACTATCAATTATAGAATTTTTCTCAGAAGTAGGAAAAATAGAGAAATTATTTTTCTATAACTATATTTGCTTTCTTCTGTTTGCAAAGCTTAAGTGTCTTTGTATGAAATTGTGCTCTCTAGGGTGAACAGGGCATTGCAGGAGAGCCAGGAGAACCAGGGTATCCTGGAGACAAGGTAACTTTTTTACCATAAATTTCACATAAAGTACAAAACAGCCAGTGAAAAAGTATAAATTCTTTAAAAGACAAAGGAATACTCATTATGTTAACCATGTATTTTTTTAAGATATGGTATCGATATGATTTTACATGTCTTGTTTGAAACAGTTTTCTCAAATTTTTTAGAATACTTCCATGAATTCTTTTTAGTAATTTGTAAATACAGTCATGTGCTGCTTAACGATGGGGATACGTTCTGAGAAATGCATGTGAGGTGATTTTGCTATCGTGTAAACATCATAGAGTGAATGTACACAAACCGAGATGGTATAACCTATTGCCCCTAGACTACAAATGTGTACAGCATGTTAATGTACTGAATACTGTAGGCTGGGGGTCGGCAAACTTTTGAGACAGAAGAGCCAATCCTGACCCTCACAACAATTTAAAAATTATTAGAGAGCTATAAAACAAATGAAATCACCATTATTTTAATAATATCCTTTAAAAGTTTTATAAATGAAACTATGATAGTTTTGTTTTCATTTTCAATTTTACTTCAGAGCCACATGTACATACCCAAAGAGCTGCGTGTGGCTCGCAAGCCACAGTTTGCCAACCCCTGCTATAGGCAGTTGTAACACAATGATTAGTATTTGTATATCAAAACATAGAAAACATAGTAAGTTTGTTTACACCAGCATCGGCACAAACATGTGAGTAATAAATACATTGTGCTAGGACGTTAGGATGTCTATGATGTCCGTAGGGGATAGGAATTTTTCAACTTCATTATATTCTTGTGGGACTATGGGGTATATACAATCTGTTGTTGACCAAAATGTCATTTTGCAGCATATGACAGCAGAGGCGTATCTGCCTTTTGTGGTATAATAGTTTTTCTTCCCTCTACTGTCCTCTCCTTTCAGGGAACGACTGGTTTGCCAGGACCACCAGGGATGAGAGGAAAGCCAGGACCTTCAGTAGGTTTGAACTTTTGCTTTACTCTTTCTAGCTAGTGGAATGCACACCATGGCATGAGTCTTGAAACTTCTTAATATAGTATAAAAAGTGGCATATACGCTGACCAGTCTGGAATTTTCTCTCTTAACTTTTAGAATATAGCTAATTCCTCAAGTTTTTAGCTTTTATTCTGTAGATTGTTGGACCTCATCCTCCCTATTCCCTTCATTTCCAGGCCAAAGCCAAATTTCTATGAGCCCTAAAGATCTTGGTTGATCTATTATTATAGACAGCATTTAAACTAACCAGTGGACTTTTAAGCCAGAAAATATAAAGTACCTTAAATAACATTTTAATTTTTCCAAATATCTGTTTATTAAGAAGCATTCTGAATGTGACAGCCGAGTGGCTCAGTTGGTTAAGAGTTAGCTTAAGAGCGTGAGCTCTGAGCAACAGGACCACCGTTTCGATTCCCACATGGGCCAGTGATGCTGCATTCAAGCTGAGCTGTTGCTGAGCTGCCAACAGGTAGCAGGATGGCTCAGCTGGTGAGAGTTCATACTATGTGCTCCTAACAACAAGATTGCCTGTTCAATGGTGGGCTACGCCTGCCCTCAACTAAGACTGAACTCGGCACCTTGACCTGAGCTGCCACCTGGATGGCTCAGTGGATAGAGCGTGCGCTCTTAACAACAAAAGCATGCGCTCTTAACAACTAGGCTGCTGGTTCGACTCCCGCATGGGATGGTGGCTATGTCCACCTGCAACTAAGATTGTAACACAGCACCTTGAGCTTAGAGGCCATGAGCTGCCGATAGGCAGCCAGATGGCGACTGGCACCCTCCACAACTAAGATTGAAAAACAACAACTTGGCTGGTCCCCCTCCCCAATTCCTTAACACTGTTCTCCTCCCCCAATTCCCCAATTAAAAAATAAAAAAGAAAGAAACATTCTGAAGACAAAAATAGCATGTCACACTCTCTTGTGGGCCCAAATGTTCTAATTCTTTGTCTTTATTTAACCCTTTGGCATCAATTAGTTGAGAAAAAAAGAATACCTTATATTGTAGTTAACATGAAGCCCAATAAATTATAAAACTAAAATTGCTGAAATGTTAAAATTATTTAAATAAATTGATTAAAACAAGAGTTGAAAGTATATCTCTGCATATTAAAATAATAATAATAATTACAGCTAACATTTACTGAATGTTTACAAAGTATCAGGTACTATTCTAAGGTCCATAGCTCTAATTTAGGCCTTACAACAATCATATGAAGTTGGTAATATTAGTATTTCTTTTTTACAGATTAGGGAAACTGAGACACAGAGAATTAAATAACTTGCCCAAGGTCCCATAGTTAGTTGGTTACCACCTGGGAAAACCTAGGTAATCACATATGTCAGAGACCATGCTCTTAGCAGCTGTGTTATACTGTTCCAGGATTTAACATTTTAAGATCGTTTTAGGATTTTAACATTTATTACAACTCTATGAAGGTGAAGGTGATTGCAAACAGAAATATATATAATTTTAGATAAAAATTTATAATTTGTTAATATAACATTAAAATATACATTAAAAAAGAGTGTTGTTTTCCTGAGCTATTCGACTTGTTCCCTCTAACTCTCTCTCCCATCACAAGATTATTATTATTTATTATTAATTTTTTTTAATTGGGAAACAGTATGTTTTTCCAGGAACCATGAGCTCCAAGTCAAGTAGTTGTTTCAGTCTAGTTGTGGAGGGCGCAGCTCAGTGGCCCATACGGGGATGGAACCGGCAACCTTGGTGTTATGAGCACTGTGCTCTAACCAACTGAGCTAACTGGCCGCCCCATCACAGGATTATTTTTGCATCAAAGGAAGCAACATTAAGTCATAAAGCTTTTGATATACCTCATTCTTTATGACTTCTAAAAGTAGCAGCATTTTATACACACCTCTCAGGAATTATTTAATCCAAAAAACAATATTTGTCATTGATTTGTCAAATAAAATGTTGGCGGTGAGCTTTGCTTCTACTGGTTTATCACCCTGAACTCAGGGTAACCCCAGTCAGCCATGTACCCAGACTTGTGCCCTGGAATTAAATCTCAGAAACTCCAAAATACGTAACTAAGGGGAATGAGAATAGGTTGCGAAGCTAACAAAAAAGTCTGTTTTTCAAGAATGCTTCTAAACCTCATAGCAGGGACTTCTGAAACCTGCAGTGGTTGCCAAAATAAGACCCTAACTTTTTATATCTTCATTTTGTATAAATGTGAGGCTCTTTTAACTTTTGATAATAATAAAAGGAAATGGTACAACATTTTCTAAGGCCAATACTAAGTAATAAATGATACCAATATTGTTCTTTTATGCTTTACAATTAAGTACTTGAGAAAACTAGAGTCAAATATCATGGCTTATATAATACAAACCTTTTTAATGTTTCCCTTACTCCTTGATTCAATTTATATTGATAATGTGTTTTGGGAGCTGGTGGGAATAACTGGTCTGAGAAGTAGGGATTTGGGTTTTAGTCCCAGCCCAGATACTGACCTTCTGTGACCTTAGGCATTTAATCATTATGATACCCAGGTTCTCATGTTTAAAATGAGTCAGACAATATCACAGTTCAGGTTCCTTGCAGCTCTGTGACTTTTTGATATTTTCCCCTATTAACAATACTGCTTACCAATATTTTTCTATTTAAGCTAAAGAAAAGGCAGAGAGCCTATTTCACCTTCAACACATTGTTCTAAAACCTTTAATATTTTCCTTTTCCTAGAATAAGTCACTAGAAACTCTAATGTGGTTCTTTTAGGGCAGTGATGCAGGAAGCATGAGATGGTGAGAGTGAGGCTTTTACTTGTTCATTTTATACCTTTCTGTAATATTCATAAAAAAATTAATATTCATAAAAAAATTAATATTAGCAGGGATAACTTTGGTAGGAGGTATTGACCATTCTTTGTTTTATCAAATATTTGAAAAATATACACTTGGGACTGAAGATAGGATAGAGACTTAAGAATTAATATTTGTGAAATGGCTTTGTCTTTAGTCTCTCATATTATTTATTACTTGTTTGTATCTTATTAATAGAAAAACTTGTAGAGGAAATCTTTCCTGGTTATGGAAGGAGAGACACCTGTTTAACAAAAAATTGCTTATTTAGAATCAGATATCATATTAAAAACAAATTATATAATTTAATGCATACCTAAATCATTTGTTTAAATATCATAGAAAAGATGCCAAACTCATAATGTTTTTTTTTTTATTTTCTATGTTTTACTTTTGGTTTTCTCTTATCTAAGATGTTGATGTTACTAATATTGTTTCCAAATGGATCTAAGTTGTAACGTGAAATAATATTTTCAAGGATAAAAAAGGAAAAGAATGTCCTATTATGGATTCTGGAATAGGGAAGCATTTGCTCTGCAAGTATTTAAAAACTAGAGAAAACTACCAATGTGAAGTTGTTAAGAAATGGTCTTTCATTAAAATAGAGAAACAAAGACAATTGTTTTATTCTTCCCATTTTTTAAACTATAAATTGTCATTTATAGAAGTTTAATAATTACTTAATTCTCTAAAAGTTACTTGAAAACTCAGTTTTTATAAAGGGGAATTAACATTCAAGGAAACTTGCAGTTAAAGTTTTTCAAAATAGAGAATTGTTCTGCAGAACAAATGAAACTATTTATGTTTTTAAATATCTAGTTAGTGATAAACTTTTCTGAAAACAGAGGCCTAGGGTATGCTATCTTTTTCCTCAAAGCTTGTAAATTTAGTTTCTTGTTTGGATTGTGCCACTAGAGGGCCCCGGTGAGAACCCCATCTCTATCTCTAAGAAAAAGGTACTTGGCATTTTAAGAATTGAAACTCCTCTAGATACTGATGATCATGGATTATGATTTTGTTTATTTAGGAGAACTTAAATGAACTTTTGCATACTATTTTATTATGTTTCTCCAGGTTTTATTGAAGTAATTGTATTGTGTATTGTTTAATGTTCAGATATTCTAGCACTATCTGAGAATATATTTAAGTACATATGGAAAACTGTGCTTTACTTCTTGGAAAAAGGATAAATCCATATTGTATATTGCAATTTTATATACTCTAAGGCCTATTTAAGTCAAATTTGAAACTCTCATAGGAATTTAATGTGATAGAAATAATGAATCCAATAGTTTTTCTTATGAAAACAAGGGTATCAGACTACTGGCCTTCCCTGTTCTAAGCTTTCATCTCTTGAGTGCATCACTAGCCCTCTCTAGTTTCAGGCCTTATCCCCTACTTCTCTCATCTCTGACCTTTCTCTCCAGCCCTGATTTCATGTTGTCAATCTGAATGTCAGAAAATGGCTGCAGAAATAATGAACCCAAATCCTTAAAATTTTAATTAAAGGATCAAAGTAATCTAGGAATTCTGTGTATCAACCAGGAGATAAGAAAGGATGTGAAGGGAATTACTACTGCTTATAAAGTTGGTTCACATTTAATGAGTACTTTTTTTGTGCCAGGTATTTTGCTTAGCACTTCACATATATTATCTCATTTAATCCTCACAGTGACTCTATAAGAATATTAGTATTATTATTGTTATTCCTATTTTATTAATGAGAAAATTGAGTCTTAGAGAGATTAAGCAACAGGGATTTAAATCCAGGTGAATCCTTACTAAATCAGGCCCCTGTAGTATCAAAGGAGAGAGGAATTTTCAGAGACAGTCCAAAGACTCTGGTTACTTATGAAAGCATTTCTTCTTCTAAAGTTCCCTACATTGTTGAGTCATACTTTATTGTCTTATCTCTGGGTAGCACACACACACATACACACACACACACACACACACACACACACATTTTTTTTCTTGATTTGAGCACTTAATTCATTAAATTGTATCTCTAACACTTAAGAGTAAACACATATTAGATCCACTTTTTATTTAAATAAATTTTCCACAGAGATGGTTACAAACTAAATCTTTCTGAATAGTTATTACAACTTAATATATTGAGTGTTGTTTGCTGAAATGTCATTATAACTTTGTGTGGCATAGTATACTGAATACTATTTTCTTACCATATGTCTGTTTCCCTTTTAAACTGTATTCATTAATGTTTATACTTTTCTTTCCCTCTCCCACATTTCAGGGCCAAACAGGTGACCCAGGGCCCCAAGGACCATCTGGCCCTCCAGGACCAGAGGTAAAATGTTGGTGATGATAAATTTGAAACAAAAATTGTAGAAATTAAACTCGGTTGGTAAAACATGTTTTTACATAATAGGCTTATGAAAGATTCTCTTTAAAGTTCATATCTTTGTAAATAATTTGGATTAAATTTGTTTCTGTTATGTCAGGAGGTATACAACAGTGATCCCAAGGAAGTAGGAAAGGTATTAGCCAGATGGTAGTCTTGATTATATCTTAGCTGACTTATTTGTTCTGCACAACTATTAATAGCCCATACTTGGGGTTCAAAATAAAATTTCAGGACATAAACTCCACTAAATTTTTAATGCAGAATGCTTCCAGATTTTACTATATGCATATATCATTTGGGTCTCATATTCTAAAATAAAGAAAATTAAGTCTTTATTACATATATCAAGTCTATTTGTATATTCTTTGAAATTGTGACTTTGGCTTAATGCTTCATGTAGAGCAGCTTACTTCTTCCTGCAAGACTACATAGAACATAAGTTTCTGAGATGAAACATTTAAGTTTTTTTAAAAATCATTTAATGAGTCACAGATACACCACATGGAGATAAAGCTCCTGAAGGTCACTCTAGTTCAGAAATATAAGCGGAAATATATACACCTATAAATACACACACGCATCCAATTCAGAGTCATAGATACGGCAGTAAAGCTGAGGAAATGAATTTGGCTTCAGAATAAATAAATCAGAGCGATAAAGTTCCCATAGTGTCAGAGCAGTAGGCGGGTTTTTAGGAATAGCTCTGTACTGATGCGCGCTCCCTCTCGTTGTAAACCATAAGATCTACTTCTTACTCCGCAGCTGTCTTCCATGGTTGACTGATTTCTTTGACAAGTGCCTACGTTTACTTATTATCAAATTCAAAACTATACTGGATACTGATAGTTCAAAAATCTAAAAAGCTACATTGTATACCTAGTTTTATTAATAGGGAAATAATAGGAGATAAAATATAGCAATATATTGACGTCATCATTCTGGGAAAGAAGGAAAATGTTTTGGGTAATAAAAACAATTATTAACATATAATTAAAACAGTGATTAACAGATTAATATAAGTTTATCTCTTTTATGAGCCTACATTCTTTTAATCATTTTTCATGAAAAACTTCCTGGAAAGAATTGTTTACCTGTCTTTTCATACTGAGGATACAGAACATAATTTACCTTTTATTATCTTAAAAGGTTGTTATGAACATGGAGTGTTGTGTTATAACTTTAATATGTGTGCTAGGAAGGACTATGTCACTTCCTTGCTATCTGTATAGCTTAGGATCATTTTATTCCATTTTATAAAGCCAGGCAAAAGGATGCGTGGGTTGTGTTTTTACTTATCATTCAGTCTTTCTAAGATGTTTCTTATTCTCTGTTGCCTTTGAGATTTATGATTTGCAATCACCATTCAAAACATTGTCTCACTGTATTTGCTTTTTGTACTTCTAATATAAGATCCTGAGCCCTAGTCAGTCTAGGCCCATTCTTCCTCCTCACCTGTATTAAGTTATTTTATAGGGTTAAAGACGTAACCTGTACTCTCTCAAGAATTAGTGCAAGGTTGTTTTGGGAAATGGGGCCTAGTCCACAGAACATAATTTCTTCTTGATCATAACAATATCATATGTAGGCAGTCATATACTAGGCAACGCTTTTATCCAAGTCTTTCTCAAAATTAGATTTTAAGAGACTTGCAGGTCTAAGAATTTAAAATAGCATGTTTAATACTATAGCAAGTCGGGGAAGTTTTTTTCTTGTACAGTGGATGAATTTTCTCATTAAAAGAGTCTTACACGTTGTGCTAAATTTAGACTTTATCTTGTAGGCAATGATGAAAGACATTTAAGCAAGGGAATGAAATTGTCAGACTTGTATTTTCAACATATGTGCAGCAGAAACACAGGTAAAAGAGGAGAGAGAGGTGACAAGGAGGGAGGGAGAGGTCACAAAACTAATTAAAGCCTATTTAAGAGAATAATACAAGACCGGAGCATTAATGATGAGAACGTTTGACAATAAAGAGAAAGATTGGCTTTAAGAAGTAATTAGGAACTATAATTCACAGCACTTGAACCACTCAGTTCATTCAGTTTGTGTAAGAGAGGAATAAATGACAATTTTCACATGTCTTGCTTGAACAGTTGGGTAGAATGTGGATCACCAATCTAAAAATAGAGAATAAAAAAGGAGAAGGGAGGATGATACTCAGGCAGGTAGAGATAATGCTTTGTTGTTTTTTTAATTTAGTAGCGCTGAAGTGCCTGCAGGACATACAGGAAATTGGTCTCCTTAGTGTTTAGAAAATTGTAGGCCTGGAACTCAGTAGAGTGGACTAGAGATACGTAGTTGTTTAGTCATCCACATAGAGCTATCCGATGAGGCAATTATAAGAGATGCAATCATTTAGGAAGGGTTTATGAAACAAGATGAAACAAGGTTTGAAAATACTACACCTGGATACTCACCCCGAAGGCCACAGTCTCTGTCTACAGTGCAATTTAAGTTTTAAATAGAGAATATAAGGGCCGTAAAATCAACTTTGGTAACTTAAAAACATACAGAGAAGAAAAAAAGCACAATGGAAATTAGAAAATATTTGTGAACTGATTAAGAACAAGCCACTATAAAAACTTGAGTGTTGCGCCTAAAGCAACACACAGAGGGAAATTCACAAATGTAAGTGCATTTCTCTACAAAACAAAGGAGATTTGGAATAAATGAGTTACGCATAGCACAAGTATAGGGATTTGTTTCAAAAGGACAAAGAAGTTGAAAGAAGTCAAATCAGATGGACTGTTTTCTCTCTAAGGAGGAGACTAACTCCCAAGAGGAAGAGGCAGGGGTGCGTGCTGAAGGAGGGCCTTCCAGGAGCTCTGTGGAGAGTGAGCGGGGCAACTGGGGACTCAACATAATTTCCATGTTGTGTGAAGAGCCCAACTGAGATTGAAAATCTTTTCCCCCAAAATATAGCTATAAAGTTCTATATATTATATTGGAACTGGATTGCAAATTTGAGTCTGAATTTCCTCCTGGCCAAAACAAGCAAACATGATTCTCTTCTCTCTTGGTTGATAACATATTAATTGTTCAAAAACAAGGGCAGCAAATTCATGGTATTGTGTGATTTCCATCTGTCAATGTAGGTTGATACCATAAAGCTAAAGTACTATTCAGTAAAAGTAATCGTATTAGGGAGCAACATGATGACCCCTAGGTAGATGCTTCTGTGACAGCTTTTGTTAATTATTGGGCAATAAAAGGTTTCAGTGAATATGTGAAAATTTGGGATTAGTGTCTTCTAACTGAGAACTGAGGAGTTAGCCTGAGTACCTTGAGCAGAGTATTTGGAGTTTTTTGTTTTGTTTTGTTTTTGTTTTTTAATATGATTGTTGTGATGTATGTATTTAATTTTATCTTTCTCTAAATGGCTTTTCAATTGCCCCAGAAACATTTGGTAAGCAATTTGTCTTTGCTTCAGTGACTTTAAAATGCCACCTTTATCATTTTCTAAATTCCCATGGTTCTTGGGTCTATGTCTGGGCTTTGTTTTCTGTTCCACTTGAATGGTTGTTTATTGCTGCACAAGCGTCACATTGTTTTAATGATAGAAGCTTTATGGTATTTTTTAAACTTTATTCAGGAATAACTGGGAATATTGACAAATATAATTGTATATATTTAAATTACAAAATGTAATGATTTTATATATGTGTGTGTGTATGTGTGTGTGTATATATATATATATATATATATATATATATATATTCATTATACACACACAAACACATTGTGGAATAGTTACCAAGATCAAGATAGGTAACACATCCATCACCTCACATAGTTAACTCTAAATTTCTTTTTTTTTGTTGTGAGAATGCTTAAGATCTATTCTCAGTGACTTTTAAGTAAACACCATATTTTAACTGTAGTTACCGTGCTGTACATGATACCCTCAGAACTTATTCTTCTTATAACTGAACATTTTTATACTTGACCTACATCATCTCATTTCGCCCTTCATCCCAGCCCATCAACTACTATGCTATTCTCTGTTTTTATGAAATTGGCTTTTTTTTTTTTTAAGGTTCCACATGTAAGTGATAACATACAGTACTTGTCTTTCTCTGTCTGGCTTATTTCACTTGGCATAATGTCCTCAAGGTCCATCCATGTTGTTGCAAATACTAGATTTCATTCTCTTTCATGGCCGAATAATATCCCCTTATGTATATATACCACATTTTTTATGCCTTCATTTGTTGAAGGATGTTTAGGTTATTTCCATAACTCGGCTATTGTGAATAATGCTGCAGTGAACATGGGGGCGCATATATCTTTCCAAGTTAATGTTTTTGTTTTCTTTGGAGAAATACCCAGAAGTGGAATTTGTGGATCATACGATACTTTTAGTTTTGACTTTTTGAGGAACCTCCAATAGTGCATAAGGGCTCCTTTTCTTCCACATCTTCACCAATACTTGTTTTTTCTTATATTTATTATAATAGCCATCCTGACAGGTGTGAGTTGACATCTCGTTGTGGTTTTGATTTGCATTTCCCTGATGATTAGTGATGTTGAGCACCTTTTCATATACCTGCTGGCCATCTATATATCTTCTTTGGACAAAAATGTCTATTCAAGTTCTCTGCCCATTTTTAATCAGGTATTTTTTGCTATTGAGTTTTACAGTTCTCTCTATATTGTGGATATTAACCCCTTATGAGATACGTGGTTTGCGAATATTTTCTTCCATTCTACAGATTGTCTTTTTGATTTATTGATTGTTTCCTTTGCTGTGCAGAAGCTCTTTCGTTTGATGTAGTCCCACCTGGTTTTTGTTTTTCCGCTTTTGTTGCCTGTGTATTCTCCAGGAAATCATTGCCAAGACCATTGTCAAGGAACTTCCTGCCTAAGCTTTCTGTCTGTTTCTTCTAGGAGTTTTACAACAGGTCTTATATTTAAGTCTTTGATCCATTTTGAGTTAGTGT